TAACTTGAGCTTCGGAGCCCTACGCCGGGTTCTCCCCGGAGCTTCTCTTCTCCCATTTCAGGTCCCTGTTACTCATTTCAGAGGCAAGATCATCAACAGCTAAGACCGGCCAGATTGTGCATCATCAGATGTGAAATTCACATTTTAGTAGTTAATTTACTCAACAAGTTCTTAAAATAAATATTGACTTTGCATAATCTAGTCAAAATTTCTATAAATAATTTACATCAACCCAAAAATACCATACATATATTAAAATTGTTTCTTACATATAGCTTAAACTATTTCCTAATGTTGTACGTTAAGAAAGAAAAAAAAAAAACTAAAGGCAAATTTATTTATAAAATTGTCACATATAAACTATATATTAGATTTTTTGGATTTGGACATGACATAAAAGAAGAATATAAAATTTTGAAATAGGGAAGAACATAATGCATGGAATCAGTTAAACATTATTTTTAGAAACCAACCCAATACTTGCTGACTTTGCAAATATATGACCAAGGAATTATGTTCAAAAAAAGAATAGACAGATTTCTCACCTCTTCTTACTTTAGTGCTTTTGATGTTGGGTAAGAAGCTCTCTCAAGAACTGCAAATTATAAAATGCATACATAAAATTATTAACAATGCATATTTTCATTAGGTAAACCATGTTCTAGGAGACAACCTCAAAGAGAAGGCAACAAAGGGGCTTACTTAGGGCCCGTTTGGCAAGTTTTTTTGAGAAGATCTTCTCGTAGCTCTGACCGTTTGGCAGACGCGCGTCTTTCCGTGCATCATTTCGGGTCTTTCCGCCGGAGATTAAAACGTGAAAGATGCGGGAAGCTTCATTTGAAGCTTCCCGAAATCAGCCCAAAATGGGCTTTGTGCGTCTTTTCGGTGCTGCGTATTTTGGCGGTTAGATCTTCTGCGTGCCAAATAGGACTATACCGACTTTCAGTCTTCTCAGCTTGTAAACAGCCAAAAGACCGCATAAAAAGACAAGCCAAATGGTGCCTTAATTGAAGGAAGAAGGTTAGTCAAATGTTTTCCACAAGAATGTAATTTGGTTACAAATACTAACACGCAAAATCTAATCCCACTCCCTACATTCAAACCAAATTATAATTTTATACTAATCAACATGTAGAGCATAGTAGGGAAGATACAACTTTGAGTGATGAATTTGCTCTTGAAGTTGTATGCATTTTCAATTACATCTAATATTCACAAAATTCAATTTTTGGCCCACCTATATGTGTAATGTGGGTTGTGTTGGACCAGCACATGGTTTATCATCCCTTTGCACTGTAACAGGTCATTCTGTCACAACCTAATTTATTAGGGAGGGGGCCTAACACTAGCGTAGGCTCATGGGCCAACACGACTTTTTTTTTTCATGAAGAAAAAAAACTAATAAATGCATATTTATATATTATTACTATATATACATAACATGTATCAATAATATATATAAGCCCATATGGGTTGTGGGCCTCAAACCCCTAGCCTAGCTCAACCTAGGGTTACGTAGGGTCCGTGCCAAGCAAGATTTACATCATGTCGGGCCATGCTAACCCATGGGCAATTCGATTTATTTTATGCCTATAAGCCTTCAAATAGAATCTAGCAGGAAGTTAAACAAAGATCTATATTTGTCTTAATCATAGTTGTTTTTAACTCATTTAAGACCAATAACACATTACTCATTTTGCCTCGATTTTAAATCAATAAGTTTTAACATTGAGCAAATTTCATCCATACAAGAAATTGCAAAAAGAGTCTAGGCCTATGATGTTGGAAAGACTTTGACCAATCAAATCCCTCCATGAATTTTGTTGAAAATCCACCTTATTGATAACCACTTTTATGATGCTAATTGATTGGTCATAAGTTTTTTTCTGACATAATGTCTTTTTGGCATCAAAGTTGAACCCTATTAGAGAAAATCCATTTTCTTTTGGCATCATAATTGGTTCCAAGTTTTTCCAGCATCATACCTTTTGAGTATTATAGTTAAACCCATATAATGTGTGTAATCTATAATATATATATATATATATATATATATATATATATATATATATGTGTGTTATAGATTATACAATATATATTCAAATTCAGATTTAATCAAAATAACCGTAAACCAAGCAAAAATTTAGAATTTTCCTTAATCTGGTTTTAATTCAAAATTTCCCTATTAAAATTTCAATTAATTCAAATGCTCACCCCTGGCTAGAAGGTGAGGCGCTGCTGGATATGTTCCAAATTAGTAGGACTAATGGGAGAGTGGTTAAATAACTTGTTAAGGTGATGTTTGGTACTAGGCAATTTTTACTTGAAAACACTACTATATGAGTGTAACTTGGGTGTTTTGATTTTAAATGTGAAATTTCTATTTGGTTGAGAGTTAGAGACTATTTTGAGTTAAAATAGACATAAAACATTTATGCTTGGGTGTTTCACCTAGGTTTGGGCAGCCAAGGGTTGGGTCTAAGTTTGCCCTAAACTTAGAATTAGAGAAATCGAGTATGAGAGATGTTCTCAATGCACGTGTGAAAAGCACTATGAGATTGGTGTGAGGCGTGCTAGCATATTCGGACCTTACTTAATGGGCAAGTGCTGTGAGAGTTGGACTTGATAGCACTGGAAAGTTGACCATGTAAAGGTTTTATCAATTGTATGGATGGTTAGATCATTCAAACCTTAAAAACCATAAAATAACAAGAAGCACCAATCATCGGTTCAACTGTCTAATCTGGTTGAACTTGAAAACTTTGTTTGAGAGTCCAGGTAGGCATAACATTGTAAGCATGTTCAATGAGCACTTTAAATTTTTTTTGACACCTATCCCTTGAAATACTCCCAACTTATCCTTGAAAAAGATTAAGGGGGCATTCTTTTTCTGGATTTTGAGAGGGGGGAAAGTTGGTCAATGGGATTTTGATTTCCAATGACCAAAAATCCCATGTTCCTTTTTCAGATTTATGTGGGGAATAGGGAAAGTTTATTTTCCTGGTGGGTAAGTGATATCTATCTCCTAGGAGGTTAAATAACTTTCCCACCTTTGGGGAAAGTTGCCAACACTTGAAAGGGACAAAAATCCCATTGTAATAATGGATTTTATAGATAAAATGGTCATTGCCTTATTTACATTGGAAATAAAAAACATGGGTAAATGTACTTACCCAAGTAAATTTTTCTTTACCTAGGTAAGTACACTTATCCAGATAAATAACTTGTCGAAATGTGAACAAGGCCTAAATACAACATTTAATAGTTGTCATAATATTTATAAAGTGCTCATTAAATGTGCTTCCTAATGTTCTACCCCCTTTGTTTGATGCTACCCAATAATGTTCTAAAAACCAAAGTGGAATCGAGATTGCCTTGGCCACTTGTTTCCGAGGTAGTGGTTTGATCATTTGGTCTGAATGGATCAAGATGTTTTAAAAAAATAAAAAAAATTGCCCAAAAACCGGTCTGAATCAAACATTCAACGGTTCAACCGCCTGGTTTACTTGGTTTTGGACCAATTCAATGGTTTTTGGGAAAATAACATTTCGGGGTGAAATGGAGTCAGTACCCTAACCGGTTTGTAGGTCGAATGGTCCGACCGTCCGGATCAACGACGGTTTAAAACCTTATTGTCCGACCAAGACCGAGGCATTTCGTGGGGCGAGCGGGCGGTCCACTGCTTTAGGCCTTTAGCTTAATTTCAAGGACAGTGGCGTCTTGTTTTGCACTTTAACGAATGATATGATGCACCGGCTATTGCAGTTGCAGAGACGTTTCCTGAGCAGCAGCAAGAATGCCCAAAAGGAGCAGCAATGGAGTGTCAAACAGGTTACGAAGTCAAATTTTCTGGAGTCGTTGGAGGAGATACAGAAGCACATTCATGACTGCCATTTCATTACTGTTTCGTCGCAAAAGACCGGCGGCTTTTCCGCTCCATGGCGTCGTGTGTTGCCATTCGATACCCCCGACATGGCCTATCTTAAGGCCAAGGATGCCGCCGAGAGGTTTCAGCTTTTTCAGTTTGCTGTCTGCCCCTTCACTATCGAGTCTTCCAAAGTCGTCGCTTACCCGTGAGTCTTCCTCTCTTTCCATTCTCCTTTCTTTTTCACACACAGACAGACAAACTCAAACATATAGCTATTACATCCTTCTTCTTCTTTTTTCGTTTTTATGGTAAAATGAAAATTTCATTTAAATAAAAAAGTAACATACAATTTAGCAGGTGACAAGGCATCACCCGCATACATCATCGGAGAAAAACTACTAAGTAAAATCAAAATAAGTTTTCCAAGTTACAAAGTTGAAACCCCAGGACATCCCCCAACTTGTCCCCAGGTCCTCCCTGTCAATTTGTCTGAATTCTGGTAGCTCCAGAACCCAATCGGCCACAGATTTTCTGACAGCAGCCACTATCTTGTCCAAACTGCAGATTTTATCTTAAAAAATTCTTCTATTTCTCTCCTTCCATATGTTTCAACGTATTGCAAATTGAATGCAGCTTCAAATCACCTTTCGGTTTCTTCCTTCCTCTTATCTTTGGTCATGAAGAGAAGATATGTGCAGTTGATCTTGGATGAAAATCTGATACCCCGAACATATAAGTGAACAATCTCCACATGAAACCAGCAACCTTGCATGCAAGAGTAAAACAGATGACTAACATTTTCTTCCTGTTCATTGCATAAACAACACATGTTGGCCATACTGAAGTCCCTTGGTTTCAGGTGATCCACAGTCAAGATGCTGTCCATGGTCACCAGCCAAGCAAAAGCTTCAACTCGGGGGGGACCGGGTTTCCCAACACACCCTCAACTTGACATGAATCTGAACTATCCCTGCTGAGAGCTAGATAACATGATTTAACAGAAAATTTTCCATTTGAACACTCATTCCACCATAGTTCATCCCTCGATTGAGTTGAGATTTTCACCCCCTCTAGTTTTCCCAACAAAGTAAGGCCCCATTTGGTGTGCCTTTCTGTGCGGTCTGTTGGCTGTTTAGAAGCCCGGCAGCCCGCGTTTAGGTATTTTCCCGTTTGGTTTGGGAAAAGACCTAGCCGCCAAAAGAAGACATCCCAAAAAGACCCGTGAAGCCTGTTTTGGGCTATTTCGGAAAGCTCCAAATGGAGCTTTTTGACTTTTTTTCATCATGTCTTCACGCAGAAAGATGCGCGGGAAGATGCACCTTAACCAAACGATCTTCAGGTTGCTAAGATCTTAATGCAAAAGCTCACATCGTCTTTTGGCTCTCAGGTCTGCTAGAAGATCTTTCAAAAAAGACTTGCCAAATGGCATCTAATACACTTGTCCACCTCTCTATCCAGCAAATTTCTCCTGAACTTCAGGCTCTAGATCGGCTGTTCTCTTCTCCCCTTCTTTCATAACATTGGCTAATTGAACTTCAGCCTCAACCAGCATATACAACCTTGGGCACAGTTCACTCAGCTTGCCTAGCCCACACCAATCATCCTCCCAGAACCTAATTCTTGATCCATCCTCTCCTGAAAAACTTGTTAAGCTCCCGAGCTCCTGATTGAATCTCATAATCCCTTTCCACACACTCAATCCGTATGAAGATCTCACCTCTCTAGATTCCCAACCAAACTTTATCACACCATACTTCCCCACCACCACCCTCCTCCATAATGAGTTTTCCTCCCTCCCTAAACCAAATCTCCGTAACTACTTCCCAACCAAGGCCTTGTTGAAAACTCTCACTCTTCTAAAACCCAATCCACCCTTCTCCTTTCCCCCTCCATCTCCACCAACATCATCCCATAAGAAACCCCTCTGAACCTTCTCAATTCTTTCAGCCACTTATGTCAGAATTTTCAACAAGGACATATAATAAGTTGGTAATCTTTTTTTTTCCTTTTTTTGATGAATGAAAATAATTTATTAATCCAGAAATTAAGGCAATACAGGAAATCCATGAAGAGGCATGAGCTGTTACCTCTTCTAACAAAGTATTACATCAATTAAAAACAAGAATAAACAGAAATAAGTTGGTAATCTTGAAAGGACACTTTTGATTAAAGTTATCCCCCCCCCAAGGAGAGATATTTTGCTTTCTATTAAGTCTCACAACAGTAAGGACAATATTGTTCATTTATTCTTTTATATAAATACCTTTTTCCTGGGTTGGGTGTGTACATCAACCATCTGAGCAATCTATTTTTCTGTTGTTTCTTTCTTCTCTCTCTCTCTCTCTCTCTCTCTCTCTTGCCTAAGCTATCATGGTATTAGAGCAGGTTGTTCTTTGATTCTTCCTTGCTCAATTGACTATCAAGATCTACTATTTTCCTTGTTCTGTGATTGGTTTTGGGATTGTTTTGATCAACCCTAGAATTAGTCTACTTTGTTCAGTACAACCAACAAGAGAAATTCTATTAGATCTCTCTTGGAAGACATTAGATCAAGGTGAAACTTCATAGGGAGTGTCTCCTGATCCAGATCTACATATTTTGAAAGGCATATCAGATCTGATCCAAATCTACTTTCTTTCTTTTTTTTTTTGGATTGTGTACTTCGTTACATGTTTTTTTAGTAGTTTGAACGTTTTTTCTTTGCTACAAGAGGTCCTCTCTCATCTCTTTCAACATCATTGCTTGCTCTTGGTGATTGTACTACTTGTTCTATTTATTTTATCTATCTTTTATTGATCGTGGGATTCAAAAAAGGTGAAATCATCTCTGTTAAGTTTGATGGAATGAACTATGCACTATGGAAGTTTCATTTATAGTACTTTGTTGAAGGGAAGGGTATGTGGGGCTATATTGATGGTTCTACAACCATGTCTATGCTAGTGATGCAAAAGGGTTGAAGCAGTGGGAGATTGAAAATGCATAGGTTGTTTCCTAGATTCTAGGCTCTGCCACTATTGATGTTGTCATTCCAATGAGGGGACTGAAGAGTACACATGACATGTTTGAATACCTTGAGAAGGTCTATTTGCAGTCAAATATGTCCAAAATATATTAGATATAGCTGGACATATTTTCTTATGCTCAGAGGAAGAAAAGAATTCAAGAGTACTATATTGGTTTTGTGAACCTTTGAAATGAATATGAATTGGTTCACCTGGGATTTCTCTACTAATTATTGCGTGAAAGCAATGAAGAAACATTTTGATAAGAGAAAAGTTATGCACTTTTTGATGCATCTCTGACTTGATTATGAGACTATACAGTCAAACATTCTTAGTAGGGAGAAGACAGTGCCGGACTTGGATGTGATTCTTGGTGAGTTATTAAGAGAGGAAACTCGGCTTATTACTCACCTTTCTTGATAATAAGAAAGAGCATGGCATAGGTGCAGAATTTTTTGCTACCAAACAAAAGGTGAAGAAAGATTTTTTGAAGATTTAGTGTTATGAGTGCAAAGAATTTGGGCATGTGGTATCTCATTGTAAGAAGAATTTTTGCACCTTTTGCAAACAACATGGGCTTATTATTGTTGAATGTCCAACTCGGCCTCCTAAGAAAGTACAACATAAAGCATTTTAGGATTTGGCTGAACCATGTAATGCTTTTTCCTTCATTTCAGCTCTCAAGGCAGACTCTCAAGGTTCATTGACTGAAGATAAGATTAACCAACTCATGTTCTCGTTTATTTCTTCAGTTTTTTTTTGCTATAGTAGAGATCACTAATGCAGATTTAGTCGAGTTTCTTGTGAAGGAAAGAGGGGGAAGATGAAGATTTCAGCAGTAGAGAAAGAAAGGAGAAGAAGAAGAGAGTAGGAAGTCAACCAAGATTGTGAAAATTAACCCTAGCCGCCCCCCTCTCATTATATTTATACTTAACTTAAAAAGATGAGATATTACAAGGATGCCCTTAGTAGGGCGACTACTAAAAGTTGAACAGTCACAACTTAAAAAAACATAAACTAATGGGCCTAAAGCCTAACAACTTCCTAACTAAATAAAAACAAACCGGACCAACTCAACACTCCCCCTCAAGTTGGGAATAAATGTCACACATTCCCAACTTGCGTAGATCATGCTCCAACTTATTCTTTGCAACACCTTTTGTGAGAACATCAGCGAGGTGCAGATCAAAAGCAATGTATGGAAGAAAAACTTCTCCAGAAGTTACCCTTTCCCTGATAAAATGTCTATCCACTTCAATGTGCTTAGTTCGGTTATGCTGGACTGGGTTATGGGCAATGTTAATTGCTGCCTGGTTATCACAGTATAGTATCATAGGTTCTTCTGCCTGTACATTCTTCTAACTGGGAACGAATCCAGAGAAGTTCTGAAACTCCATGTGCCATGGCCCTGTATTCGGCTTCAGCACTTGATCTTGCCACCACTGTGTGTTTCTTACTCTTCCATGAGACAAAGTTACCCCCAACTAGCGTGCACACTCCTGAAGTTGATCTCCTGTCATCAAGGCATCCTGCCCAATCTGCATCTATATAAGCCTCTAGTTTCAACTATCCATGATCAATAAACAATATGCCTTTGCCTGGGTGTCCCTTCAGATAAGCAAGAATCCTGTCAACAGCTTCCCAATGCTGGACTCGTGGAGCATGCATGTATTGACTTACTACACTTACCGCATAAGAGATGTTTGGTCTTGTCATACACAAGTATAGCAGTCGACCCACAAGTCTCTGATATCTCCCAATGTCCTTTACTGGTTCACCTTCTAGTGCATTGATTTTATGGTTCTGATCAATAGGGGTGCTGATTGCCTTTGTTCCAAGCTTCCCTGTCTCTTGAAGAAGATCCAAGACATACTTCCTTTGTGAGATAAAAATTCCATGTTTTGATCTTACAAATGCCTAAAAAGTATCTCAATTCTCCAAGATCCTTAATTT